TGGTTGGCCTTGCTGACACTTTGTGACACACACACACACATACATGTTTACATACATACACATACTTATTATTAGGTGTAGGTTAAATGTTCAGTATTCAATATTTAGCCCTTTTGATTATTTTAAAGGATTCGAAGTGTTTGTCATTGTCTTTCTATGAATCAGTTATTTTTTAATGTTTGGTCACTACAGCAACTGATGCTTTATTGAAAAATAAGGATTAGTTGCATTTTATGTGATTTTTTTAATGGAAAATCTGGTTTTTGTCAAATTACTTATTTTTAATATAGATGATAGTAATAGGAGAAGATACTGATTGTTTGATATAATAATACTTGGTAAATAATACGAAACCTGTTTAATACTCTAGTCAAATTGGTTACCTAAAGTCTGTTGACTATAAATTTTGAGATACTATAGATGATCTTCTCATTGAAGTCATTGTCAGTATATGCCGAAATCAGTCAGTGAAATAAGGTTATCTAAGATAATTTTTTCTAAGTAAACGGTTATTCAGTCAGTCAGTTACAACGTAGAACTTCGTACGTAAGTACATCAGTTCATGTTGCCATACCACATTAGCACAGAGATGTAAATGTCACTTCAAATCCCATAGTGGTAGAGACAGTATTACTGCTAATGGCGAAGATTAGGATTTGAAGATAATATTCAAGAAGTATAATTCAGTGAGATAAGTTTACAAAGACAAAGGTAGAGGTGTTGACGATTCCAGAAGATTAGGATTTGACAGAACACAAAGAGTGGATGCATCTGAGCCATTGCAAACGATTTTGAACCATGTAAACAGTTATTAGGAAAATAAAATTCATCAACTTTAATTAATTCTTTGACATCATGAATCGATCATTGTGAGAACATCATTAGCAACCTAGAAGCACCGGACGGCAGTTTCGTCCTGGTATGTGACTCATTGGCAGTGTGCATCCGCAAATGCCTCTACTCTCAGGATTCGAACACAGGACCTTCTGTTTTGAGCGTGAACACTTAACATTTAGATCGCTATTAATTAACAAGAATTCTCAAACTATAACCTTTTGAATCAGCAGGTATTAGTTTGATTATTTGAAATAAGAACACCATTCTCTGTGAACTTCAGTTACTGATTTGCTCATTTTTGATGTGTAAACTCAAAAATTGGTAAAAATATATGCTGCTTACTTACTTACGCCTGTTACCCTCAGTGGAGCATAGGCCGCCCACCAGTTTTCTCCAACCAACTCTGTCCTGGGCTTCCCTTTCCGGTTCTGTCCAATGTTTGTTCATTCTTCTTATATCTTTCTCTGTTTCTCCACATAATTTGTTCTTTGGCCTTCCTATTTTCCTTTTGCCTTGAGGGTTCCAAGTGGGGGCTTATCTTGTGACGCAGTTTGGTGCTTTTTGTAGTGCGTGTCCTATCCACTTCCACCGCTTCTTCCTAATTTCTTCCTCCACTGCAATCTGGTTTGTTCTATCCCACGGTACGTTGTTGCTGATGGTGTCTGGCCAACGAATAAGAAGCATTTTGTGTAGACAACTGTTCATAAGCACTTGTGTCTTCTGGATGATGGCTTTGGTAGTTCTCCAAGTTTCCGCCTCATACAGTAGAACTGTCTTGACATTTGTATTGAAAATCCTGATTTTGATTTTGGTTGAAAGTTGTTTGGAGTTCCAGATATTTTTCAGCTGTAGAAATGTTAACTTAATGATATCAATTTAAGAGAAATGATTCGATGAAAATTAATCCTTTCTAATTAATTAATTGATATGCTCATATATTGGTCAGTATTTCTTGTATATTAATTCAGTAGCAACTTTTTTCATCATGACAGACGCAAATTTTCGTTCAGTATGACATTGATATTGATTGCATCGATTCACACAAACTATATTCAATGTGTGTTTTTAGTGCGACGCTGTTTATAGCAGACTATCAAGTGAGTGTAAAAACTGGTGTAACAATGATTGTGTTTTGGTCGAATGATTACCTGATTATGGAATTTGTTTGGAGAGATGTTTTTGAAAAGACAATAAATCTTTATAGCACCAGTCTTCGTGTTGGTATTTTGCATCGTTAGAATTGAAGTGGCTCCCATTTTAAAATATAAGCAGTTGGATCGAGGAATCACGGTGGTTCCCGATTATTAAGCGTAAACAGTAAGAATGTGGGCCCGAAATTACCCAAAACAAAAGTGTTATCAGAAACGGAAGAGAAACTTTTAACTCAGAATAATACAGTGGTATGTAAAGCAACAGATATTATGTTGGCGTCCTAATATAAATGCTCACAAATATGATTGTACAGCATTAAATTAATGTGAACACGATTAAAATTCTAACACTATCCACGAACGAATGCAACCATAGGTTTTTACCCACTTTCTCCAAAATTGCTAACACGAAAAATAACTTCATTTATCAAAATTACAGTGCTTGGACAAATTTTTATGTATAACAAACGAGTAAATTAGAAATCTCATCCTGAACATTCGGCTTTGCTAGTTTGTTTCAAATTCATTCAGGATCGTTAACTAAGTGAAAAATCCTTGGATTTTAAAAAACTTCTGATCATCTTAGCTTGAACATCCGAAAATGGCTGATATCTACTTTAAACTTGCAGTATATATATATAAATATATATATATACATATATCAGTGAGGCGTTGTGGAGATTGTTGAGCCTCATAAATTAATTGTAAAAAGTGTAGAAATTGAACTTGCAGACCACTTTACTTTAACCAACCACTTTATACTCTTAATTTGCAAATAAATTATTGTAAGAGAGCCAAATGTCTGTTCATTTTCCGTCAACTCTAGGTCTAGTGAGACATGTTCATCCACAGAATTCAACCCTGATATACTTGACGGTTATCAGGTTTTGGTCAGTGAGAATATTCATTTTATTGATTACAGTTATTTAATCATTCGTTTATTTAAAACATCAGTCATTAGCAATCATAAGAATTCATTTCGCTTAGTTCATAATTTTTGAAAGAGGTAATTTAACAAATGAAATTGAATTTTTTTTATATTAAAGACTTAGAAGTGCAAATGAATTGAACTAAACAATTCACGAGCAGTTATTACATATTCCCCATGTTATCTTTATCAACCTCTCTCCAATCAGATCATTTGAATGTATCTTCATTTGCCTAGCGGTATTGTGAAGGCTGAAAATTACAATAAGTTCACGTGTACAAAGGATACTATGCTTACATATCTACCTACCTTGATAATTCAGTATTTATAACTCAGTTTTTTTAGTAATCATCCTGTGCAAAATATTCAAATAGTAATAAAGAGGAAAGGAAGGGATTTTTAATGAACGCACATAACATAGTGAAAAAGATTGATGTATCCATTCGAATGAAATCAAGCTTGATGTAGTCGCTTTTCAACAGAAAATGTCTTCGGATCACTATAATGACTTCCCACCTAAATCTCTACCTAAATAATTTATTATTTTTCGATATTGTACAACGGACAATTACAAAATTTTCATGACTTATATTAAGTTTCACTTGAATGTGACAACAATAACATTTTCAATAGCCAATATTTTAAAGATTCTGAAATAAGTAAATATAATTTTTCTCCACATCATGATGACACTAAGTAGAAATATGTGTTTATCTATCTTAATACTGGTTGATCAGTGAATAGGGATCAACGATATGTATGTCAAGTCCATTCGAAGGCTTACCAAGTTGTAATTTAAGTGATTCGACGTCGTGTGCACTATGTGCAGATGTGTAACTGGATGACACAATGTCAAGTCAATCAGCGAGCATAAATTCCCTCAAGATTACGGGGTGAACCTTGCTGACGAGTGTCAAATAGCACGCAATCTAGTTCCACAGTTTCCTATCGACAACTTTCAACCACCAACTTAATTCAAAACACTAGTTGGTAATTTGCTTAGTTACTGCGAAATTTTGAATACATACGGAACAAATAAAACGTATGTTATTTACTTCTTTTGTATCTCTCAAAAGAGTTCACATCAGTAAATGTGAATCTCACCATTAATTAGTAAACTGATGAAAATCCTATTCCAATGAACTAACGCTTCCTTTTACTGTCTGTTTACAGTGTTACAGATTTTCATTTTGAGTCAATTTGCGAAAAAAAATATTATCTCGACAATTGCTAACTGTCTCGATGAATTTGCCAAAGTTAAAAATCATTTGTTTTCACAAAAATATTTAGAAATCTATTTTGAAACTAACCATTAGTAAGTATAAGGATTACTTTTAAATGATCAATGAATCACTTTTAGATCACCATTAAAAACCTGAAAGCACCGGATGGCCATTTCTTCCTGGTCAGCGTTGCACATCCACGACTCATGATACTAACAGGATTCGAACCTAGGACCTTCAGTCTTGAGTGCGAACGCCCAATCTCTGGACTATTTAGCCAACATCCAAAAAAGTAAGTGTCTAACTCTGATCAGTTTAAGGAGTTTTGTGCAATCATCCATTGTCTTTGGTAGTTACTGCCTACACCCGACAGGGTTGAACTCCGAGAATTTCCTCATGAAACTAGTCACTTCTGATGAGCCTCATACCAGAACGAAACGACAATCCAGTACTTCCAGGCTCCTAGTCATGGTCTAACAATGATTTACTTATGATTTCCAATGTAAAACAACGATCTCCACAATACAACAATACGAAAAACAAGGATTACTATTCTTTTTCACTTCATTAGTCTGATATAGCTTCTGTGTCATTTCAAGGTCATTTTTTAATTTACGGAAATCAAATCATCAAGACAAATAAAAAACTAATCAAAATTAACTTTATAAAATATTTATTTTTGTAAAGAAGACAAGAAAAAAAAGTAAGACAAAGTTAAAGAAACAAAGTAAATAACACATGAATAATTCATTTGTTCGAAACCATGTAAAACATGAAGTAAATATTTAAATATATAACGCTGAAGTAAATAATGTTTCATTTCGTTAACAAACAGCTACAGTTAATATATAATTGTCCCATTTATTCTGCCTTAATATTATTATTCCTCATCACATTGATTAAATCACAATTTGTAGAAAGAGCATTAATACTAGTAATATTATTACTATCCATAGGAATAATATTAGTTGGTGTGTAGTTCGATGATGGAGGTAAACTGTTACAATTTATTTTTGCGCTGAATTCATCTTTCTTAATTGGATGATTTGAACGTTTATGATTTTCCAATGAACGTGATTGACAAAATCCTCGATGACATATTGAACATGAAAATGGTTTCAATGTTAAATGAGTGTAACTAAACAACAGCAACAAAAATAAGGGGGAAGTAAGGTTAGGAAAAGTAAATTTAAACAAATTACCACACCAAATCTTTGAAATATATCAATTAATTTACACACATAATTATTGGTATACAAGGGACACTTGTATATTTTTGCACTAAAATCATGATCACTGAATTTGTGCATGGTCTTGAACAGTGTCCTTGTGCTCAAATAACTAGTTTACACAAATATTAAACAAGTAAAGTGGTTAACTACAAATTTAAAGCTGTTCAAAATTTTCATTTGAACATAATTGGTTGACTATTTGCACAACAATCATAGCTACGATAATGCTTGCAAATTAACTTGGAGGTTTGAAGTGATCAACTGATTGAAATTATTCACTATTTTATCGTATTCAATGTTGAAGATCTAGTCGAGTTAAGAATGTAGTATAGTATATTGAAGGATAAGTGCTGAAAATCTTTGGATTTATTATTATTACTATGTTTATTGACTGTCGTCTTTACTTTCTGTACATAATAATGACGAAAGATTTGCTTACTTTCCAGTATATGACTATGTCATTAAGAAATTATATTCATATGCTAATTGGTTAGGATATGCTCTAATTCAATATTCAATATCGGCACTAGTGATAGGGAGTGATGTAGTCGAACGTGTAGACCGCTTCACTTATCTTAGGAGTCTCATCAGTGCCGATGTCCTGGTGACTGACGAATTCTCAGCTCGGATACAGAAAGCTTGATTGGCTTTTGCCAACCTGCGTCACTTATGGTGTAGGCGTGATATCCGTTTGCTGACTAAAGGACGAGTGTACTGCGCAGTAGTTCGCTCCGTCTTACTTTATGGCTGTGAAACATGGCCAGTGAGAGTAGAAGATATTCGTAGGTTACTGGTTTTCGATCATAGGTGTCTTCGAAGCATTGCTCGTATATCGTGGGACACCCGAGTGAGCAACGCTGTTATTAGGAAACGGGTGCTAGGTAAGAATGGCAGATCAATAGATGGAGCGGTGAAACTTCATCAGTTGAGGTGGTTAGGACATGTGTTGCGTATGCCTAACCACCGACTGCCTCGTCGAGCTTTGTTTTGTAGTGTAGGAATAGGTTGGAAGAAAGCGAGGAGTGGCCAAACCAAAACATGGCAGAAATCCATGGAGTCATTGACGAGTGGACTTAGCCATGTCGGTAATTGTCGACTACCTGGTTGGGGTCCGCGAGACGACAATAATCGATGGTTAGACACCCTGAATGACATGGCTCAAAACCGTTTGCAGTGGCGCCGGTGCATTTACTCTTTATGTTCTCTCAAATCCAAATCTTCTGGATTCTTCAACCCCTCTAGTTTTGACTTTCTAAACTTTTCTCACTGAACCATATTTCTTGAATATCTTCTAATCTTAACCTCTCCGATTACTTCTAATACCTTTATTACCTCTTCTACTATTGGATTTGAATTGACAATTATATCTCTGTGCTGATGTGGTGGTATGGCAACATGAACTGATGTACTTACGTACGAAGTTTTACGTTGCATCTGACTGACTGACTCAATATTCAATAACTGGCCGGACTACTACTTCGCTCTATGGTATTAGTTACTGTTAGAAGATTTTTTTCTTATGATATCAAAATATGTGGCCGCTTCTACGGAATTCCTAAATATACCTCTTGGATGTATTTCAGCTGATGAGAAACTAAAAACTCTCTGTAGGTTCAGTTATTTATTCTCTTGAAAACTAATACATCAGAATTTTAGATTTCTACTTCATAGAATATAAAAAGGAGATTTTTTTTAATTGTTAAAATCCATTGATTCAATGTTCAATTTATCTGAAATTAACAAGTTGAACCTCGATAGTTATATTTGTTAACTTATTACTAAACTTATTCACTGATTGCAAAAAGAATACTTATTGAACAACAACACACGTATTCAAAAAGAGTTCTCAGTATAGTTAAAGAAACGACAGCTGTCCAGTAACTTAACAACACGCTAATTATCATCATTTCCAGAAAAGAATATGAAACATCTATTCATTAAAGTTTCCGTTACCTGTGATCTCTTAGATGATCTTTTCGTCTAAATCGTCTTGAGCAAACATTACAACCGAATGGACGTTCATCTGTATGTGTACGTTCATGTATTGTCCTGTTGTATGCTTTACTGAATCCTCGACCACAGTGTGAACATTTATAAATTGATTTTTTATTATTCGATGACGATGTCGATGTAGTAGGTGTAGTTTTTAATCTAAAATGTAATCAGATTTTATTGATAAAATTGTAGGAATGCAATTCATTATTAAAGTAAAAAGAGTTTGTTTAAGTAATATAACATCCATAACTCAAAAGATATTTTCTTTCATTTCGGGTTCACTTATGTACTTAGTTGAAATTACCAGGTTGTTTGAAATGTAAATTTTAACCAGTTTTTAGCTAAATATAAGATAACTTGAGTGAATGAGTAGTTTGTCAGGAAAAAAGTTATAAAGATTGTAAAGAATATAGACATTTAATACAATTATTAAACGTATTGTATTTCTGTATAGATATTCTTATCTATACATCGGCAAGACGTAGGTCCATAGTATCCTATCAACTACCTCTAAAAGAAGGATATATAAACTCGCCTAAGTAAGTAACATTTGACAACTAGACCCATATATGTGGAAAAAGTAAAGCTTTAATCAAGCTCATAATGCCTTCGCGCTGTTTGCATACAAGTCTGTCAACCGGTCAATTAAATATTTCGTGATGTTTGTATCCAATACTGAAAAGTTATTTATAGGCATAAAATCACCCGTTTACACAGTTATTCCAGGTGTAATAACTTGTTAATTATGATTGTGTCTACTTTTTTAATCTCTCACCGTTGAACTTGACCTTTCAACTGTGATTTATCTCAAATGACGATGGAATACAATGGTTATAAAACACACTACTTACTCACTTCTCAATGGCATTCCTTCCCTTATTATAATTCCATTTATTGATGAATGTTACTCCCATTTTACTACCTAACGAAACCTTTTCTCCTGAAGTCATGATGTAGTGAAGGAGAGCACAGATGAGGGCAACCGAATTTTATTTATTGCAAATTACAGAGTTACTCAGTAAAATAGGAAAACCACATCGTAAACGGTTAATTTGCAAATTTTCAATCCATCATCAATCCATTGTCTGACATTTCACTATTCATGCGTTTCATACAAATTCCATTGTTTTTCCACTATTCCTTTCTTGATCTTCCCTCATCTTCTGCTGCCAGTCATTACGTTTTCACTCGCGTCATATACTACTTATAAGTAGCGCGCACCACAATGATATTATTCTGCACAATTTGCTTTATTTACATCCATTAAAGCTGCTGAACTAAATACAAGGTGACTCAGGAGTCTTTAACTGAGCCTCGAAGATTAAATAATAACCCCGTTCTAATCAATCTTTTCACTAAGCATCAGTGATATCTAGAAGAATAACCACAAAGTTTCTCCTGACAGACATCCAAATTCATCTATTTGTCACACTCATATTGCACGTGATATAGAATAATGTTTTCGTGAAAACGATATATTATCAATTCAAATACTCATCGAATTTCAATCTCGACGATAAAAATGAGTAGTCACTCTAATATACTTTAACTAATCGCAACCAAAGACCCCGATAGTGAAAACATGATTCCCAGTTGTTTATATGTAGATTATATTATAGTATTCATTTTCAAGGTATATTGTCAAAAATCAAGTGTACATGTACACGAACAATTTTGTTTGAACGGCCGAAATATGTTGAACATTTCCAAAAAAATAAATCACTGACAGTTTTTTTCTATATTGATAAATAATATTTGAAAATTTGTTTGTTTGATATTTTTACTTACCCTGTGAAAATAGTTTTCATTTCATTTGTCAATTCATATGCCTTAAGTGAATGCTTTGTTCTATGCGATTCTGTGCTGAACACTTTTTGAGAATTATTTAGTTTAGAATCAGAGGAAGTATTTGTAGTAGTAGTAGTATTATTAGTAGTAATAATAGTATTAGTAGTAATACTTGTAGTAGACGTCGTAGTGTTACAATCAGATGAATTCAATTTCATTGCAAGATTTAATGGTGTTGTTTGAATTGATGTAACATTTTGATTCAATGAAGATGATAAATTCATTAACTGATTCCAATTGTATAAATAGATTGAACTGAAATAGTTCACAGTGTTCAATGGTAATGGCATAGGAGTAGTAGGTAGAGAAAAACTTGATGTGCTGCTGTCATCAAATTGTTTAGAATCATTTTCATTCAATGTAAAATATCTTAGGAAACTTCGCCATAGACGCCAACCAATAGTTGTTTGATTAAAATGTGTCATTTGAGATGGATTGATCAATGAAGCTGAAGTAGAAATGTAAAAAAAGAAACTGTTTAAAAATAGAGAGTAAGTAATATTCATAGGGTATTTATTTGTTAAATGGGTTTTTTTGATGAGTCCCATACCGGGACGAAACGGCCGTCCAGTGCTTCCAGGTTTCTAATGGTGGTCTAATATTGATCGATTCATGGTTTCAATAATGTGAAACTAAAATACATTGAACAGTTATCGGAAACCTAACAACATTATGTTCAAACTGTTTATACATGATTTCAGTTTGAAAAGAATCTCACAAGATTCAATTCACTTATTCATTTTATGTACTGTTCAGTATTCTTCAACTATAAGGTTTTTATGGTGAAATCATGAACTTGGTTTGTTGACAAGTTTCAGAAAATATAAAGATTATATAATATTCAATGCATCAGTTATTAGATGCATTAAGGTATATTCCTGAGGAAATGAAAATCTTCGGTCAGTTACAATGTAGAACTTCGTACGTACGTACATCATTTCAAGTTGTCATATCACATTTGAACAGAGAGAGTGAATTGTTAATTCACAATCCCATAGTAGTAGAGGTAATAGAAGTATTAACAGTAATCAAAAAGATAAATGATCGAATATATCATTCGAGATTTATGCCCCAAAGAAGTCAACTGAAAAGAGAAAAAACGGTCATGAGGAATTCAGGAGATTAGGATTCGAGAGAGCACAAAGAATGGATGCAACTGCGTCATTACAAACGATTTGGAGCCACGTCGTTCAGGGTCTCTAACCATCACTTACTATCACCTCGCGGACTCCAACCTAGTAGTCTATACTTATCAACATGATTCAGTCCAGTTGTTAGTGATTTCATGGATTTTTGCCATGTTTTGGTTTGACCATCCCCAACTTTCCTCCAACCTACTCCTACACCACAAAACATCGCTTTTGGAGGCAGTCGGTGGTTGGGCATTTGTAACATATGGCCCAACCATCTCAACTGATGAAGTTCCACTACTTCAATGAATTTTTTTTTTTTCTCATTTGAAAATATTCAATTAACTCAAATATCAATCTAATTCAATCAATCAATCAATCAATCAATCAATCAATCAATCAATCAATCAATCAATCAATCAATCAATCAATCAGTCAATCAATCACAGAAACTCATTCTTTTTATTTTTTTTAAAAAACAATAATAACTTACAAGTATACATATTAAAAATATGATTTAAATGTGGTAACCAGTACAATGAAATAATATCTGATGAATTGAAATTATTCAAAAAATAATCTTCCAATATTGAATGTTGATGATAACTTTGTTTTGTCAATGGTACAGTTGATGTTGTGATTGCTGACTTTGATGATGCGGATGATAATAACATTTGGCCAATTACATTTTCATAAGTGATTTGAGGTGAGGTTATGTTTTCATTTGTGAAATTCTTCAGAGAATTAATGAAATCTGTTGCTGATGTACTTGTTTCATTGAACAATGTGTTAGGATTGTTATTAGTAGTATTAGTAGCAGTAGTAGTAGCACTAGTAGTAGAAATAGTAGAAGTTATCAAACCATTTAAACTAGACTGGAATGTATTCCATGAAGATTTATTCAGAATTTCATCAATATCATATTTATTCGTTACAGGAGATGATGATGGTGATGACTTCCTAATGAAGAAATCGTCTGTTCTATTCATATCACAGTCGATTGGTGTAGATGCATAGTGATTTGTAGAAGATAATTTTATATCAGAAGTTATTGAGCTATCAAAATTTTTGAATAGATAAGATTAAAAAAAGTTCAGTTACAATATACAATGATTTATTTTCAAACTTTTGATAAAATATTTCCTTTTGGTGACTTACACCTCGGTTATATTAAATTCCTTACGTGTATATCGACAGTAGGAGTAATGATTTTTTTAAAAATCTATAGTATTTGAAGTAAGCAATGAATACAGATTGTACTATGAAGGATTGTTAACGAACATCAGTTACACTTCTGTAATATTTCATTATTGAACAAATCTCTCTGATAAGGATGGAATTAAATCAAAATTTGTTAACTGGTTACGTTGGGAATCTATTGAAATATCGATACATTGAACTGTATCATTCATTTTTCAAAAAAACATCCCCACATTTTAAATCTTTGAACGATCAATTTTAAGTAGTATAAAAATAATCGTGGTTTATGGAACGATTTCTATTTTAAATACAAATGAAAAGTTTGTTATTCATTCTGTAATCATAAATTTACAGTCATATTATAATCATTCATAAACCAATACTTAAATCTCTAAAATAATAATCGATAATCGTCCATTTTGATGAATTATTAATTATAACTGATCTGCCCTCGTTTGGAACTCTCAGGGTCAAAGGGAAGTAGGAAGGTCAAGGAAAACAGTACCCCCGAGAAAAGGAGATAGACATGAGAAGAATGAACAAAAAATTGGACAGAACTGGAAAGGGAAGCTCAGGATAGAGTAGGATGGAGAATACTTTTTGGCAGCCTATGCTCCACTGGGGGTAACAGGAATAAGTAAGTAAGTAAGTACCATAATTCGTATAACTGGCTTTGCAATAAAGTTGTTGTACAATTATTGATCTTAATACTTGATTGAACAAACAGAAATAGCTGAAGGATGATTCTAACTTTCAATTAACTAGTTAAACAATAAACTAAATCTTTGAACACTAAAAGAACGCTTACTCTTTTACATATCAGTTCGATTCTTATTACCGGTAAACACTCGACAAGCATCTGTGCTGATCAATGTTCACAGATATCTTGTAGAATGTGTAGATTTTGTGCTGAAGAAAATGCTTGTTAAAACAGAACAAATAGATAGTTAGTTAATAATATTACTGCTTGAAAATTGTACAGCTGTACAGTGATGTACATGGGCAATGAGTTGCGCGCGCGAAAATTCATAATTCTCTATCATGAACTTACCTATTTTGATCGGTGAAACTCTTCAATTGAGAATTAAAACAATGTGTGTTATAATTTAATGTGCTTTTGATAATATGATTATCACTTATAGTATTATTATTTTGATTGTTAAACATTGGTTGAAATAACATTCTCTCGCAAATAAATAATGAGGCGACTTAATTTGACCGAAAATTCTCCACCGGGTTACACATCACCTCTTTTTATATACATAAATATGTATGTGTACTCCTCTCTACATATATTTATACATATATATAAACAGTTCAAGTTACTATGGTTCCCTTATTCACTCACTGGCTTGTTGATATTGACACTATCAATAGATCATTGGTGAACTTGTATATGCAAATACTTCCTTCTTTTTTTGTTGTGCTCTCATCCCCTTTCAACAAGTGTACACAAGATCATATACATTTTTCCTAGGCAATACACTTACTTTCATTGTATCTAATTAACACCATTCAAATGCACAATTCATTGCCCCACTGCCAATGATTTTGGTTTTTGTCACCATTATTATTACTAATATTATTTACATGATGATTATACAGTTGAAGGAAAACTAAAAATACAAAAAACTCGATAATAAATATTCTACTATGCTATTATGCATTAGTATTATTCTTCATCTTCGAAATTCTAACCATCTTTGCATACATTCAACAATAGTGTGAATGCATCCAATCATCACCTCAACTTCCCTCTTCGTCACCACTCTGTTCTAAGTGCACTTTAAAACGTTCAATAAAATAGAAATAGAAAAAAAAAATTAGAGGTGATCATTTCTCTATCCTATCCATGCTGTATAACTGAATAACTAACTAACTAACTTACTCTGCTTATATTTGTTATCCATATTTATTGTTTATGCCTGTAGTGGAAAGTAATAATCAAGTTGGGTATTTTATTGACAAATAAAAACTGTTGAATAACTAATTATTATGCATACATGTATATAAGCGAGTGTGAGTTTTTGAGTGTGTGTTTGTGTGGATGCATGTTTGTGTACAGATTACAGCACTGCACTGCAAAGCATAGCATAGTACAGCACAGTGAACCTGAAAAACAGGTCAAATAGTAAAATAGGATAGAGAATGGGGTAATACATAAGATAGCGGCGATGATAAACAAAAACGTTATAAACGGATTAGATATACTGTTTATATTTTTTTAATCATCCAAATTGTAATCATATGACAAGATTCGTCAAATGAATAATATAGTTCAGTTGTTGATAATATAAATGATGCAGTGCTCTCAAAAACATTTCCGAGGGAATTCTCACATCATCATCATTGTATAGTTAAGGTCAGTCCATTTTTCATATAAACCAAATAAACAAATGAATAATAGCGTTCAATGATTAATAGCTTATTTTATATATAATTTGAATAATTTTATATGATAATTGATGAGTTTATTTATTGATTGATAGTGAAGTGAATTTTAATTTCAAATTCATATTTGTGCTCATCTACTCAAATTCCAAATATCTAACTCAGTAAGCTGAAAAGAAAAAACTACAGTTTGATTTCAGAATATCAGAATTATAAACAATGAAATTAAGAGATTACTACTTTAACTCTATTATGGAATCCAATTAATAATACCGGTAATTTAAAAATAATTTGTGCGACATTGTTACAAATCATACAAATCATTATGTTCTCATTAGTGAATAGTTCCATGAGGAAGTTTCTCCCACTTCTAGTGAGAAATCGTAACTAATGGTGTTCAACCCTTTTCGGCTGTGAAGCAGCGCTCAAAGAAGACAATGGATGCGGTTGTGGTCCAGAGGTTAGACGTTCGTGAAGAAGACCAAAAGTCCTGCGCGTAGCTGGAGTTGCGGATGCTCACTTCTGAAGATTTCCATATCAGGACAAAACGGCCGTCCAGTGCTTCCAGGTTTCTAATAGTGGTCCAGCATTGATCGATTCATGATTTCGAAGCAACTCAAAAAAAACATCTCCACAACCCTATAAAGTAGCGAAATAACACCAATGAATTTTTTGCTGTAAAATGTTTAGTTCAAAAAGCATAAGATTTGTATATGTCTAGAAAAGATCTTTGTGGAAAAGAAGTAGCTAATGAATTTACTATCGCTCATCTATTATTCACTCAAAGTTTTAAAACATTACAGCGAAAAGTGAATTGAATTTGCATAAATAAAGTTAAAACACACAAGATATTTTGTTTTCATGAATCATCGCAGATAAAATCTTGTTTCATGCCCTAATTCTTATCACTACAATGTGCTGCTTATTGTGAATTCAAGACAAAGTACAGGTTTTTGTAATTTACTCTGTATCCCATAATTCCATTTGAGGGTTAATGACCTTTTTAATATACTTGAAACAAATATCGAAAGTTTTTAACTATTTAGTGGGAATTTAAATGCTCAAATCGCTAGATTATCATGCTCCAAGTTTTCCGACCAAGTAGAAATTTCGACATTTTGCTTAATATCGGACATTTGTAGGCGATTTATGAGGATACGACTTGGTTATTCAAACCGAAACGTGTTGACCTCAGTTTGGATAATTTATTACATAATAGCCAGAACGTAATTAACATTATTTATCTAATTTTTCACGAAGAGAAATGGAATAACTTGAAAAAATACTGATACTACTACTTTATAACGGAACAAAGACAAGAGATAAAAACAAACCTGAAGCTGAAAACCATTGTTTGTACGAAAAATTAATTCACTACTAATGTAAACATAGAGAAATATAACTCAGTATTGAATTACAAAGTTACTTCCATATTGACAGTAAGGTTGGTTTTGAAACTGTTGCCTTTCAATCGCAGAATAATTTTAGAATCTAAAACTTGTTGGGGATGTTAGATTCCCGAAATTCGCTTGATAATGCCGTATTTTGGTTTTCATGTTTTGCCAGCATGGGCTGATCAGATGACCTTGAGATTTCAATTCCCACCAGGAAAATCCATGGCTGTGATTGGCTATTTTCTTAACTGTCTCAAGGACGTTCCTATGTTGTATAAATAAACGAGAGTTGAATGCTTGGTTGTACTGTGATTGCTGGGTGTTTGTAGAATATACTTCTACGCTTACAAAGCCTTTTATTTCGACTTTGGGTATTCAAGGTAGCCTCCCTGGAAGCTGGTAAAAGTCTCGTTCGCGTTTATCGACTAAGGTAAACTCGTAATAGCCTCAAGCATACTAAGTGACGAACTTATCAGTGGCGACGGTGCTTTTGGAAATATGGATCCTGCCAAACTTGAATTATTACTTGAGCGGCAGCTGAAACTGATGCAGATGTTGACGGACATGAAGATTTCCCCTTCCACACAGCCCAGCTCATCTAATGCAACCACAGCTCCATCGGTCGACGGCATCTCAAATAGCATAGCTGAATTTCATCATGATCCTGATGCAAATGTCACTTTTGACATGTAGTTCCGGCGTTATGAAGATTTATTTAAATTTGATTTCGCCAACCAAGATGATGCTTGGAAGGTTTGGCTGGTACTTCGAAAGTTGGGCGCAAGTGAGCTGGATAAGTACTGCAATTTGATCCTGCCTTTGAACCCACGAGATTGTTCATTTTCTGAGACTGTTCAGACTTTAAGCCAACATTTTGGCGATAACTCGTCACTGTTTAATACTCGATATCGATGTTTGAAGCTAATTATGAACGAAGATGATGACTTTCTTACGCATGTGGGCATCGTCAACCGTGAATGCGAACGCTTTCGGTTGAAGTCTTTGTCGGAAGACCAGTTCGAAGCCCTTATACTCATCTGCAGCCTCCAGTCGAGTAAGTTCAGTGACATTAGAACAAGGCTACTAAGTCGTTTGGAGCAAGATCCGAAGCTTACGCTTAATGAAATGGCTCATGAGTACCAACGTCTCACTAACCTACAACGAGACTCAACGATAGTGCAGAGTAGTAGTTCATGCCGATCTGAAATTCATTTGGTACAGCAGCCACTTAATCATAATAAGTCTCCCATGCTACACCCAGTTCGTCCCGCTCCAATTCTGCCCAAAAACCCAAAATGAATCCCTCTTCTGCTTGCTGGCACTGCGGCTCATGGCACTATGTACCGAACTGCCCATTTAGGCAGCGTAGATGCAGGAAGTGTAAAGTCATCGGTCATAAAGATGGCTTTTGTCAAAAAAAAAAGCCAAAGCGATCCAGAAGTGCTAAGAAGCCTGTTCCTAGGTCCAGTACCAATGCATTGAGCCTAATATCTTCTTGCCAAAGCTCATCACCAGGTGAGAGGAAATTTATAACTCTTAATATTAACGGGAATTTGTGTAGATTGCAAATAGATACTGCATCTGATGTCACTATCCTCTCACGCAAAAATTGGACCAAATTGGGTAGCCCAAGCCTGCAGCACACAACACAAAAGCCTCGTACAGCATGTAGTAATTATCTTCGTCTGTTAGGACAACTGGAATGTAAAGTTGCTTTCCGAGCTTCGTCGTTTACTGGGGTATGCTATATAACGCCAGCTGATCTAAATTTACTTGGTTTAGATTGGTTCGACCAACTAAAATTGGCTGATGTCCCGCTAAATACCATATGCAACCTGGTATCGGAACCACATGACCCCGAAGCATATACGAAGAAGCTGATGACGGAGTTTTCAACCATTTTTGAGCCTGGATTAGGTCGGTGCACTGCTATGAAAGATACACTTCGGTTGAAACATGGGGCTTAGCCTGCTTTTCGTCCAAAGAGACCTGTACCGTATGCTACATTAGCAACAGTAGATGAAGAGCTGGATCGCCTTCAACGACAAGGAGTTATTACTCCCGTTTCTTACTCCAGTTGGGCAGCACCTATAGTCGTTATCAAGAAGGCCAACGGCACGATACGTATATGTGCTGACTTCTCTACAGGTCTCAACGCAGCTCTAGAACAGCATCATTATCCTCTGCCAGTCCCAGCAGATCTGTTCACTATGCTGAATGGAGGAACGTTCTTCGCAAAGCTTGATCTAGCTGATGCTTATTTGCAAGTGGAAGTCGATGAAGCATCTAAAGAGCTACTTACTATCAACACTCATCGTGGGTTGTTCCACTATAACCGTCTACCTTTTGGAGTTAAGACTGCCCCATCTATCTTCCAACAACTAATGGATACTATCC